AAGCAATTCTCTGGATGCTCTGGTTTAATGGAAGTGAAAATAATACGTTACAACATAATGCCAAAAATCTCAAAAAAACCTCCAAAAGAATAACGTCACACTCCCAGGACGCCATTAGCAGTCATCCACAAGGATTTCTGACTCACAATTTTACAATATAAAACTTTATGAAGCAAGCAACATAAACATAGTGTAGCTAACTACTGATGATGTGAGTAGAATTGACATTGGCACTATGTGTATAATAGGAAACACATTGAATGTTTCTTTTGAAGGTACATTGCTACAAAAAGCATGGCTGACTCATTTTAAGTTTAAGAGTCAAGACAAAATACACTTGAAACTCAACACCCGATAAGGCCTATTCAAAACAACAGAGTAGTTTTTGCTTATTCGAAATCTGTGGACAAGGAAAGGAGAATGTCACAAAAGTAATCCAGATGAAGAAAGCTGAAAAAGAAAATATATCCAATCACAAATAGCAATGATGGGATTAAGGAAATACTGGAAATAAAATACATGAGTCAGTATCAATAGATATACATGTAATGCCTTCTGAATACATCCCATAATAAGAAAACAATGAGTCCAGGGATTACAGCCCCCAGTTATTTTTCAAAGTAGGTCCTGAAATGCATAGATTATAGAGGCTGTTTAATATGCTCAAGGACACTGCATGCCCACTTGAAAACATATTCCTGCAACCAGCTGCTGTAGAGGATAAATAATCAGTGTGTTTGTGTGTGTGTGTGTGTGTGTGTGTGTGTGTGTGTGTGTGTGTGTGTGTGTGTGTGTGTGTGTGTGTGTGTGTGTGTGTGTGTGTGTGTGTGTGTGTGTTGTGTGTGTGTGTGTGTGTGTGTGTGTGTGTGTGTGGGTGTGGGTGGGTGTGGGTGGGTGTGTGTGTGTGTGGGTGGGTGCGCGCACGCGGGTCGTGTGCAAGGGGTGGTGATATTATTATACAAACACAAACACCGATGATGTGGCTATTAATACATCCGGTGTGACTGATACATGGATCTATAATAATAACGGATTGAAACCAGTTTTTGTGTTATTTCATGACTCTGATGCACGACCTACGACTGACACAGAAAAGGCGAAATTGCACCATCCGCTGGACAGTCCCTGCAAGTTGTAACTAAAATGACAACAAAAGTGTTCATAAAACTAGAATCTCTGCTTCAATAACAAACTGACCGCTTGGGGAAAAAAGGCCCAGCTATATTTTAGTTATAAGAATAGTAGCATCTACCTGTGAAGCGAGCTGAATCAAAGCACTGTTGCTATAGTAACGACAACAGTCTGATAGTAAACCGGGCTGTGATTTCTTCCTACGCTTTTGCTAGAACATGGCATAAACAACCAAATCAACAATTGATTACGTGTAAGTGAAATATAATACATTTGATTAATGCTTATTTAACTTCACTCACGTCAGCATAAAGTTGTGTTACGCTAGTAGCAACATAAGTTACTTTAACGTTACTTGTGTTAGCGAGCATGTGTTTCATAATAGTTTAACACTGATGTTGTTAGTCATGCGACTAGACTAGACATTTAAACGTTGTGATGACATTCTAACCCTAAATGTAAAGTTACAAATAAACATGATAACACATAGCTAGGTTATGTTTTGTCTTGTTTTGTCCCGTGACTAGACAATCCTACTGTATCTGCAGCCGCATGGATCTCTCTGAAGAGGAGCACGGCCGGCCTCTCCATGTGGAGGATGAAGAGGCGCAGACAGAGGGGAAGCAGAGAATGGAGGACAGGTCTCTGGAGGCCATCACACCTGATGCTTTTTCACAGCAAGAGCAGTCCACTACCTGCACTCAAGAGTCTGCTAGTTTATCTATACGGCTCCTGGATGAGGTAAGGTGGATCTAGCGTAATTCGGCTTTTAACGTCAACATATCATCTTCATTTAGAGGGACTTTGTATGAAAGAACTCTCGTGAAGATATAGACACGTGTGTGAATAAATACAGTATGTGTTGCTCTTTGGGGAAAGAGTCGCAAGGTCGTACTTGGATCTGCAGTCTTTATAAAACTTTTCTTGTAAAGGGTAACTCCGATCAGTTATTATTTCCCTACTGTACATGTACGAGATGAAATTTGTAAGATGGTGTGGTAAGACCAGGCTAGGTCAATATTGGTAGGCGTGCCTATTAGAAGTATACAATTGGAGCCACATATTAATGAATGATTTGGTCAACATAAGGGTTAAGTCAGTGCTTTGAAAAATAAAAATAAAAAAAATAAAACATACATCATTTGTATTATTTAAAGCATTTAATAAATTGCTACCAAGTAACATATACAGCAATATTTTTTCTTAAAGAAAAAACATATAATCTAAGAAGTCTTGGAAACTTCCAACTCCCAAAATTCCGATCGACTCGTAAAAGTTTCTGTGTGACTCTATGTGGCGTGAAAGTGTGGAATGCTCTGGATCTCCAACTAAAACAATGCCAAGACATTCACAGAATTAGGTCACTATATAAAAACAATGTTTGGTCTGACTATAGAGAGAATATGCCTTGATTATTTCCATTTTGCCATGTCTTCTTCTTGTATGTTTGTAATTGCCCCTGTTGCTTCATTACCATTGCTGTATCATGTCCTTACCATTGTTGGTATTTGCTGTCTCTTATGTACCATAATGGTATTTACTGTCTTTTACCATTGCTGGTATCTCTCCCTCATGCAGTTGTTGTGCATCCTTGTAAAATGTATCTTGTCTGTATGCGTCCTTAAACCCATTATTGTTTACTTTAAAACTTGAACAGTTTATTTAAATGTGCCATTCGCTCTGTTTTTTTTGTACTGGAGCAAATAGGAAGCTCAATGAGTAATATGTTTGAAGGCACCAGGAGTGGGATTAAATAAGTTTTCTTCTTCCCACTCCTTTTCGAGTATCTACAAGTGTTTCTTTTGTGTATATAATATTTATAATTTTGAATTATGTTAATGTCACTCAAGGTTGTTTTTTTTTTATATATATATATATTTATATACTCTTTGAGTATCTTACAATAGGAATAAAAACAAACAATTAACGAAGCAAATAAGCAAAATTCTATCAAATCCATAAGCAAAGATCCGTCCATTTTCGTTGTTGCTGAGTCATGCTGGACGAACTGAGGCGTCCAGACATCCACGCACACCTCCTCCAGCTCATACGGGGAATCCTGAGGCGTTCCCTGGCCAGCTGAGAGACTCTAACATGTCCTGGGTCTTCTCTAGGGCCATCCTCTCAGGGAGTCTCCAGGAAGCATCTGGCACTGATATCAGATCCTCTCCTCCTATATATCCTCTTGAGGTGGAGAAGTAGCGTCTCTACTCCGAGCTCCCCTCTTGTGAGAAAAATGTTCTATCTCTAAGGGAGCACCCAGTCACCCAACCATGGCTTTGGCTCATGATCATATGGTTATTGAGTCTTTGAACTGCAGCTCAGCTTTGGACTCAACAGCAACAGCACCCCTGCACATGCTGCACTGGTGCCGCCTGTTAATCTTACCTGAGATACTTTAACTCCTCCACTTGAAGATAATTTAGCACTCATATTCTTTATTTTTACCCATTGATGAGTGGTTTTAAACATTTTACCTGGAAATGAACAAACACTGCATTGTTGTGGAAAGCTGATGGAGTCACTAGTATTTTCTTATACTTGACAGTGATAGATACATTTTATTGAGTATCACTAACATTAACAGACAGCATTACATCACTGACACCAATGTCCATCTTTCACAGCTGTATCAAACAGAATCCTGCTTCAAACACATCTCTTTTCAACTAAAGACTTCAGTGCACTGCAGACTACTTTATTTTAAATGTATTGTCATGCCTTATTTACACTTCATTTACACATTTGGAAGGTGCCTAAATACAAAAAAGCTTAAAAAAGTAAGCAGGCATTATGATATCTGCAACACTGCAATATACATAGAGTATGATTTACAACATTGTTTTGTAGAAAAAGTGCATTTTTGGCATGATCTTAACAATTAATGATAGAAAAGGTCAATGTCTTCATACAGAGGGTGAATACACATAATATGTATGATTTCAATGTTAATAAAGTTCAATTATAACACTCATAATTCCTTACTCATTTTATATTTGTAAAAGCTTTCACATCGCTCTGAAGAAAATAAATACTGTACACGTCCTAAAACATTTCATTTACCATTCACAGTGTGTACACTTGTGTTATGTGGTGCTATACACTTTCCTAACATTAGGCTGCAGTGTTGTACAAGTGGGAAATCTGAGCTCAAAACTACTTAATGCAGTTATTAAATGTCTCTGGTGTTGCGGAACATTTGTGGCAAGTCAAATGTATTCACTGTCAAGAGCAGTAAGCAAAATGTCGATAAAGTCAAATGTTCTTGGCACTGCCCCCAAACTAATTTCATTGTTGGCTCTATCACAAAGGATGCTGATGTATTTCATCAGCATCACAAAATCAACACTCCACTGCCTTATGGACGGTGTGAATTGTAGCTTTGATTTTGAATGTTGGGAAGATGAATAAGCCCTGCATGAGGTCCTTTGCTGTGAATCTGACTTGAAACGGTTTGATCAGTGCTCATATACCTCACATGAGTGCTTACTGGTAATTAAGGAGCCATTTAGAGGAGAGAAAATGATAGCTCATTAGTTTTTAGTAGGACTGTGCGCTGGCTCGTTTCTCTGCTCTGGGTTTATGACAGGACTGGAACATGACGGAATATGGGAGACATTTCACATGGAAACCCTCCATATAATATTATGGCTCCTAAAACTGCACTCCCAAATAGGATTTTGAAATGTATTGTGTTGAAACATTTCTTATACATTCACATAGCTGTTGTCTTGGGAAGAGGAAAAAAGAAAATACATATGTCTGTCTATTTTTCACATAATACTGCATTCAATTTGTCCGCTGGGCATGTGTGCATGATAAGATCAAAGTACATTTTCTTTTGATAACTGTAAATTGCAGTTATATTTTTAGGGAGCATAGTTTTTGGGCCTCATCATCATCCTGACAGTCTTGAAGGCCTGTCTGTAGTTGGTTGGATAGTACTCCGATGACATGTTGTGCCAAGTGCCCCAGAAAATGCCGTTCCTGACGCCCTTGTATCTCTTATGATAGTACTTCCCATTGAGGTTCGCCGACATGCAGGCGTCAAACCACCAGCCCGAGCTGTAGTAGGCACCACAGTTTCCAGAGGGGTACATGTCATTGTCACGGTCCGGAGTGGAGAAGAATTTCTGGTCATGGTTGAAGTGTTTGTTGAAGCTGATAGCGTTTCCAGCTGTCCCACTGCAATGATAAATTTATATGTTAAAAAAAATCCTCCTCGATGGCAGCACATCGATAAATATTTAATCTTGTCGTAACACACACACACACAGATATTCTACCTGTATCCGCTGATGGACAGTCGATAGCGAAGAAATTCATTGGCCACATAGAACTCATCAAATTTTGCATATTCCCTCACGCCCTCAAAGTCCTCCAGGTCTATGCGCAGCACCATATCTTTGGCTTTTGTCAGCAAATGGATGTAGTCATTCCCCAGCCAGAACTCACCCCTGCAGAAGAAATATTTTTTACCAAATCAAGTGTGTGCATGTGAAGCATCATGAGCAGCCAATGGAGTGCCAGTGCGCATTCTAAAATTTGTTCACAATCTGGATAAATTTACCGACTGTTACAGCAGAATTCAAGATGCCTAAAGGGAAACATTTTAAGTAGATACTCAGTCTCTACACATTGTTTTAGTACTTGTCTACACTGTTCAATAAACTATATACAGTAATTGAAACCTGCATTAAAATTGAGCTAAATCTATACATTTAATCAGAAACAAACATGTAATCTTCACATTAGCACAATAAAAACATGTCCCAATTGCAAAAAATTGTGGCACCTAAGGCTATTATTTGTTGTTAATGAAACAAAAATCCCGACCTGTTGTCATCATAGCCTAACAAAGCCAACTAATTTAATATGCCGGCATACTGACCAAAGAATTAAGACATCTAATGAATACCATTGTGCAATTTTGTTGTGTTCGACTATTTTTTTGTATTACCTGCATTTTTGCTCCTGTATCAAAACTGCATCTCACAGACTGATAATTGACCGTGACATTGACACAAACCTCTTTTCTGCAGTGTTTTCTAATCTATTCTATCTATTTCTTTTTAAAAATCAGTCCCAACCAGATGGTCGGTTCCAGTTTGATGGCCCTGGTCTTGTGGTAAATTGGAAAGGAGGCATGCATGGCTTTTTCGTATATGTTTCGCTATGTACACACACTAATGGGTTTCCTCTTAATTTAAAAGTGGGATAAATTATTCCAGAATCTGAATATCAGTGTTACCTTAGATTTCCAAAGCCTTTCTTGTACTCGGCCCAGGTTCGGTTGAAGCTAACAGACCCGTCTAGTCTCTGCTGGATCATGGTCCAACCCCCTCCATAGGTTTCCATCTCACAGAAGACCTCAAATGTCCCATTGCGAGGATCAGGAGTCACTCTGTACACTCCGCTCTTCCTCTCCTGCAGCACGTTGTAGTCGGAACAGTCCCTCGGGGCCAAGATGACTGTTGGCAGGCAGACGGAACACAAAAAGGGAAGCAGTTTAAAGAGACTGTGCTCTGAATTCATTCTTTTCTGGCTTTTTTTCATGCTGCTAAATCAGACCGCAAAACCAACAATCCCTTAGGCACAGACATAGATTCATGTGCTGAGAGAGGGCTAACGGGGTTTGCTAATTTTCAGTTTTGTACAAATATTGTCTAATTCTTAATGTAAAACTGTACTACATTACAAGCAAGCATATGGCCACACAAGTAAAATGTAACTTGATAAAGGTTCTAATTATAATAATATTTGTCATGGAATTTAAATAATTACATTTGAAATTATCAGAGGTTGCAAAAACTATAAAAGCACTCGTCGAGCCCAGACAATCTCCAAGAGCCACAGTTCCATTCCTTAGTGCTATCTAACAAGACAACGTGGCCAGTTACATTAGAGAAAAGGCAAACATGACATGAGTTAAATTTCAATAATGTCATGTTTGCCTTGTTGTATCCATTAAAAGACATGTTCATCTGAATTTTGTATAGTCACTATGTTATGCCTGGTTGGTAAAATAGAGAAGTAGACTGTATAGTACTATATTTTTTCACTTTATTTTTTTCAGATTCTTCAGTTGGTCTCAGGACACAATTCAGCTTTGCTTTTTCTAATTTATTTGTACATCTGCCTGTAAGTGAAAATGTCCAATATTCCTTCTAGATCTGATCCGTTTCAATATTGCCGTAGTGCACCGTACCTTTTTACATGTTTCTTGATCCCCTGAGGCACTCTGGATGTCTATATTCTATTGACGTTCAATCCCAGCTTGAACTTTAAACCCAAAATACACCCGTCACTCTGTTTTAATATAGTGGGACGAAAAGGACTTCCTGCGCAGAGAGTCCAAGGACAAAGGCCATTGTCAATCGATAGCGGTCTAATGCACTATGGTCACTTTTCATACAGTGTAGCTTCAAACTTTCTCCCTCTCTCGCCTGCTGCTGCAGCAATCTCTATCTTCCTTCAGAGCTCAGAACCCAAGTGGAAGAGTCTTTGTTAGTTTGCATTAAAATACAAAGTAGAGTCCCAAAAAAAACAACAAGTATGTAACTGAATTTAAGAGGCCGGCCCCCTTATTGTGTGTTTGGTGCCTCCTGCTCAAATTGTTCTGACACGGTGCCAGCTTCATGTGGATCATCACGTACTTCCCTTGGTGTCCAACCGCTTAATCCCTTTTGGAAACTCTCCTCAAAGGAATTGCAGTGATCCATAGTGTTACCAGAGTTTTTTCAAAGCACATTTCATTTTTTATTTCTTCATTGTGTTCATTGGGTTGATGAAACAAAATCATTGTTTCATCAACCCAATAAAGTCATTAACTTTGTTCATCAACTGTTTATCTAGTCTCTGACATTGTGATATTGGCTTATCCGTATAACAAGCAGTGGTCTTTCAAAAAATGTTTTTGTCGTAAAAAAATTTGATGTTGTTGGAAAATAATGTAATTAGATAATGAGCCTAGCTTGGCTAATACCAGACTACATTTCACAAGTGGTATGTAGAACCATCCATTAATTTTCTCATTGAAGAGGTGTGGTTTGCATTTGTCCATATCTGTTTATTTGGTGCTTCAAATGTCTATCATAATTGTAAGCAATTGTGACCCACTGGTGAGTGGGACAGCCTGGAGCCTGCCTGGATTGTCTAATAACGTGTTCTGATGGCTGAAGACGACAGACTGAGTGATGAGCTTTAATAAGTGACTTGAACAGCCTGCTGCAGCACATACATTTCACGTACAAGCAGAGATGGTTGAAATCTCCAATTCACAATAATTTACAGAGGGGTTTTGTGCTTTTATATCCTTTAATAAATCTATAAGAAAAAAAAGTAATACGTAATTAACTGAGAATAAGTAATTATTCACATATTGGTAGTTTTTTTTCCTCTAGAACACATACATTGTAAAATAAGCTTTCATGCAGTGACCCCTGGAATATGTTCTGGGTCTGATGATGAATAGTTTAATTTTCAGAAAACAGGAAGTGTGCTTCTAATGTAGCTGTGATATTTAATCCCACGCTGGGATCTGAAAGTTGTGAAATGTGCTAAGAAACTCATAGCGATAAGATGCTTTTTGCAAAGACACAAAGGCACAAAAAAGTTAGATTACTTTGGACTTTACGAATTAATGTACAACAATTTTAAGTTACATTTAAATATATAATTAATAGTCGTAATATTTCCGTTAAGGGAATTCTTAGATGGTGTTGTATGCACTAACAGTTAAATACTCGTTTTCATGTGTCAAGGGGGCGACAGTAGCTCATTTGGTAGAGCATTGGCCTTTGGGCCTGGAGGTCGTGAGTTCGATTCCCACCATGGGACCTACTCCAACTGCTCCCACTGATGACTGCTGCCGTTGTGTCCTTGGGCATGACACTTAACCCCATGTTGCCTGAAGCCCCCACTGAAAGATCAAGGCGGTTTCTCAACTGATGGAGCAGCCATCTTCCTGTGGACTCACCCCCTGCAGAAGATCAGCGCGGGACTGGTGCTATGAGCATTGGGTGGCAGCTCTCATTGCCACCCCCCCGACCCAGAAATGGACAAATAAAGGGGTTGAAAATGAAATGAAATGAAATGTTTTCTGTGTGCTGAAATAGTCATATGCTCACTGCTTATTTTCATGTAACTGTAATCAATCTCACATGATAAAAATAGTAGCAATAGATGTGTTCCTTCTTGTATTATTGCTTTTCCTGAGTTCTGATTGTTTGATTCTATAATCTGTTTACAATTGTTAGGTTCTTCAATGGCTACTTGCGAATTAAGGCTAATACACTTGGATATGATTTGAAAGAGAGAAGTAATGAACTCCTATTTCTGCAATATTCCACAATATGCATAGACAAGCAAGAAACTTTGTGATAATGTGTAACTTGATCACAAAAAAATGAATTTGTTCAAGTTGGCTCCATCAAATGGCTCCAGACTTCCTCATAGAAAGCTACGCATTGCAGTTTGACATTTCCTGATGAGGCAGCACACAACCTCTTTTGCTGAATTGAGTTAATGTAGCTGAACTGTAACATGAATTGCTGTCCATTCACCTCAAGGCCATCATATGTCTCTATGAGGAGCGAGGCAGGAGAGTGGTGCGTGCCGAGCTGGGATGGGGATTGACAATGGGGTGAAAATAAATGCTGGTAGCACGCAGCAGTGAGAGCATCTTGACTGAGTCTGACAAGAGCTCCTCATACTTCTGCTCCAAGGTGAAAGTCCGTTTCACACCAAAAGAGATTAGTTCAGCATATATAGTGCTCCTTTCCTCACACAATAATTTTTTATTGTAATTTCTTGTGTGTCTTGCATTCTATTTTAAATCAACAAATCCTATGGATTTGTAACTGAAGGTGAAGATACAGTAGCAATGATCTGTTATCCCCATACACATTTTGTGAGAGCAGTACATTTTAGCCAAAAATCAATTTAGAATATACAAACGTATGAAGTACTTTTCTGTTGTATTACAGTAAAATACAATTTGGCGGGTATACTTTTGACGGATATTCGCTGTCATTTTGATTGTTGACAAGGGACTCGGGAGGCTAGAATATGTTGGCCCAACTTCCTGTGCTGTGCTCTGTGGAACTCTGTGACTGACAGGCTGTCAACATCCCCCAAACAGTCAAATCTGATTTGGTCATGGGAGCTTTGAGAAAAGTAAACTTTAGCAAGTGTGTCTTGTGGGTGAAAATATTGTAAAAGACTGTGCGTGTCAAACAAAAACTGTGACCCATGAACATTTCCTGCATGTTCTGTGGTGTTGCTGGGTAGAGCTGCAACTAACGATTATTTTGTAATCGATTAATCTATCGATTATTTTTACGATTAATCGAGTAATCGCTTGGCTGTGAATTGTGTAGAAAAAATGTATTTTTTCATCACAAAAAGCTAAAGTGGCAACACTCGAGGACGTATTGATGGCGTAAACTTAAAGTAAATGTTTGTAACAGGCTCTTTGTGCTAATTCTGCTATCTGATTGGAGGAGACAGACAGATATTCATGAAATTATAAAAACAAAGTCGGTTTTAATCAAAAATACTACATTTTCATGTCATTTTTGCTCTGTTTGAGTCCGTGTGAACCAGAAAACGATTAATCGATTACTAAAATAGTTGTCGACTATTTCAATAATCGATTAGTCGTCGATTAATTGATTAGTTGTTTCAGCCCTATTGCTGGGTTTCCTAGTTTGTTGCACTTTACAGGTAATGTAACAGTCATGTGCAGATATGCCACATGAAATGGCGGACCCGCAAATTGGCCAGGGTTTATTCAAAACAATATTGTTGGCGCAAAAACTGTTGTTTATTTTCTTGTGGTTTTAAGGTGTATACTATTGTATGGCTCTGTGCTACAGGATTTGAGAGTCTGACTGCAATATTTTTTTATTTCAATTAAAAAAGCTGCTCTTATCTTTTTCTTTGGGATTAACTTCAGGCATAATCAGGAATGAGTGATAAGGTAGGAGATGAAGCAAACTATGGCGGGTCTCACTGATCAATATTCACAGGAACGTAATGGTAACCCAAATGTCTATGTGACTGAATTTTATAGTGCTTACATTGTTTTTCTGAGATTTATGAGAACTAGTTGTTTTTATACAGGATTCAAGAGCATGACCTACAGACAAAGGGAAGCAGGAGGAAAGCATGCAACGAGGCAGACATGCGGCCGAGAAAGTGGATTAGCAGCAGACAGGGAGAGAAGAGGTAAGAGAGGATCAGGGACAAAGCAGAACTGTAGGGGCGTTGGTCAGAACGTTTAAGGAGGAGAAGGACCACACAACCTTTCCTTTACACCAGTACCTCGTCCAATACTTGGAAATAACATCTTATCAGAATGCACCACTTTTAGTCTCATCACTATGGTATTCACTTACATAACACTAGGCTGATGATTCTGAGAATAAACTTGTGTAACCTTTGCTGTGTTTAGCCAATTTGACATGATAACTAACATGATTTTAAAACATTCCGACCCGTCTTTCCCTCCCTAAAGTTGAGTTTCTCCATATGGGCTTGAAGAAGTTCAGGGTGCTTGAATTAGTTATGAAAGATTCCATTTCAATTCAAGCCTAAATTATGAGTGGCTTTTTGACTTAAGTGTAATTCCACAATAAGCATAATAAGGCCACGGCCAACAATAAAATGGCCTTCCTGCATCAACTTTAGTATGATTTTAGTCATAAAAAAATTATGCACATTACACAATAACTGAAAACATTTGTTTTTTCTCATATTCATGTACCCGTCAATTTCGATAGAAAATGACCCAATTACCAATTTTACTCTTTAATTCCACAATGGAGTAATAGTTCTGAATTTAAAATGACTGACATATACTGACTGCCACCCCCCTGTCCCAGAAATGGATTAAGGGGAATTAAATGGATGGGTGGATGGATGACATTTACTGGTCATGAGAAAATAAATTCAGGATGAAAAAGAACATATAATACAAGCATTAGTACATTTAAACCATGCTTACATTGAGGGCTGTTCTGTACAGCACACTGAGTATTGCAGGAGGAGCTGAGCTTGTTCACTACTCCAGAGATGTTCTCCACGCGTTGGTCCACCATGGCCTGGACATTATCCATGTTGAGCAGGTTCAGTCCCTCCAGACGCCCCTGTAAAGCGGAGATCTGGTTCCGGGCATTACGCAGGCTTGCAGACATCCTATTCAGCTTCACCTGGAAAGGACCAGAGTAACAGGAAGGAAATCATCTCTGCGTGCAGAATATAAAGCAGGGAGATTACGCGAGCCGCCAGCGTCTTCATTGTTTCAATTAGGAATTTAGAAGAGAAACAAGGCTGAGTGATGCCTGGCCGCTGGCCAAAGTTGTGCTGAAAGCTGATGTGTATATACCAACCAGCGCTACCATCATTTAACTGGTGCCTAATACTGATCCCCCCGCTGTTTGTAGAACCAGGAATGTTCCCCAGAGGATTGGTGCCATGCAGGACTTTACTGCTCTTTCCATCTGCTCAGTGTACATTCCAGTTGACTACATTTGAATGGACATATTTATCTAACATTGTACTCTGTTTATAAAGCACATTTTGCATCTCTTTGTTCAGATTGCAAGCCTACACAGACAGTTGCAAGAATGACGATGATGCATTTACACATTGCTTAGATCTAATCATTTTTAAATAGTTACCTACAATTTATTTTGTTTGTTAGCTGAAGTTTCTATTAATTATCAATGCAATTATGTATGTACATTGTATGATTATTGGAAGAAAAAATAATTAAAAGATTAAGATGATAGATTTTTTCCCTGCACTTAACTTGAATAATTACACGTTCTATACCCCCCAACTTTTTGCCTTTTTGCATGCTTTCATCATGAAGAATATTGTCATTGTCAACTCCTTACCTGCATTTCCAGCAGAGAGCTTGGGTTGGGTGGCATTTTCCCATAAATTGGGACTTGTCCAGCCCCGTTGACATCTTGGGCTCCAGGGATGGTCCCGTCTCCTCGGTCTTCTTGGCTGGCCCCTCCAAACAGATCCTGCCCTGACAAATCCACTCTGTGCACCTCCTCTGTATCCCTCTGGACTGGCTGCCCCTGGTCAGCTTGCTGTGCCCGTGCGCCACGACACTCCTGGCAGCCACTCTTTAGCTTGTTTACCTGCTCTTTAAGGGTTTGCAGTTCCTTCATAGTTTTCTCCAGTAGTCTGAACTGCTTAGGCAGCTGAATGGTGAGAGGAGGCAAGGTGAGGTGATAGGGACAATCCTCTTGGTCCTCTGAGGTCCCACACTGACTTGAAGGTCGTAATTTAATCGGACAAGAGGCTGATGTCCCGGTCTCCGATCCCAAAGGGTACAATCCACGAACGTCCCATCTCTGGTGCGCATTGACGGGGGGGTCTGCTGCCCGGCTGCTGCCTGGAATCAGAGTGGCTGTCGCTAAGACTGTGGTAAAAATGCAAAGTACTAGTGTCCTCATTTTCTATTTTGAAATTGAGTAAAAGTTACAATCTCCAAGAATAGTATAGTGCAGGATGAGGATGAGCTGCTGCAGATATTAGCAGTAAATGTGTAAGTCCAGTGTCCGGATGTTTGGGAGAAAGACGGAGCGCGTAAAGTGCAGTCTGCAGGAGGCAGAGCGCGCAGGGGAACTGCTGCTGCCTCAGATAGCTCTGTCATTAATATTAGGAGAGAGAGAGGAGGGAGCGAAGTGCTGCTGTAAGGGAGGGGCACAACTATTGCGTAATGAAAAACACCATATCCCCGGAAAAAAAGATGAGAGATGCAGGCAGATTAGGTCAGAGAGAGGTGTACCCGGCTAGTCAAGTGCCCCGCTGTTCATTTCCCACAAATGATTCTGTTCAGAGGAACTTAACACTCCACTGTGTGCCCTGGCTCTTTCCTGTTTTTGTGGTGTGGCGGCTCCCTGTTGTATGACCTCAAGCAGATGAGCTATGAACTACTGAGCAACAGTAAGTTAGGCAAAGAGAGAGTACTATAAATCAATGAACAGTAGAGGAAAAAGTAAAGGAGAAAGTAAATCACTTGTTTTGAGGTTGACGCTTTTACTTTTTTCAAGCATTACTTCCACAATCAATTTTTCCTGTATGTAAAAATACATAAAAAGTAAGAATTTGCCTTATATGTTGCCTCAATTTGTAAAGCACAAAGGATTACCTTCTTCTTAACACTTTCTGAAATATATGGACCAAATAAAAAGGACAGGAAACAATACAATGATCTGTAGTCAAATGATGCAATATGGGTTTTCCAAGGCTTCGGGTTATTTTCTTATGGAAACATTTATTGAAATAACAATTACTGTCAGTTTTTACATTATTGTTTGTATTGAAATAGGTGATTTACCAACAGATAATTGATCTCATCTTCTGGCTTCGGGTCCTGATGGAGGAATCCGGCACAAGAGGAAATACAGAGACACAAAAGCCAACCCTAACAAAGCGATTCAATCTCGTTGTTGGCTCAACTTCAATTCCAGCAGTCAATATGAGGACATGAACACATACAAAGAGCAGTGGCGGTCCTTTCCATCACGTAGTGCGGCGCTGCGTCCCATACACAGAGCCAGTCATTATTTTTCCCCCCGAGGTGCAGGGTATTAAAGTCTACAGCTGCTGCTCAGTCCACCTTTCACATATTTTATGCACAGTTCTGCAGTGCTAATATTTTACAGAAGCCCTTGAGGCAAAAAGACAGGTGTATGGTTCCTGATGTAGGTCTATCCCTTCCAATGATTGTCTGCAAGTGGAAGTCCGATCTGAAATATGTTGGTGATGCTGTGCTTCTACTTGACATGTGTGTGTGGAAATCCCATCAGAAATTGTTATAAATGTTAATATATATATTGCGCTTGACGTAAAGGAGGCATAGGGATAAAGGAGTCAAATGAGCTTTTTGAGCTTTTAACCATGTTACAAAATTGTTCCCAATCAAAAACTAGCACAAACCTGTCACTTCGACCCTTCAGAATCACTCCTGAAATAGCATGATGTCATTATACCACTATGACATCATCATTTATGGGAAAAACAAAGTATAGCCCCCAAATTAGTATAGGTACTTTTTTATGTGAAATTTAATTATCTACTATCACATGGTTGTATTTTTAATCGGTAATTTTAAAATTAAAATAAAAAATAAAATAAAAAGATAACTTGTCTGGTAGGATAGGGAGTTACAGGTGGAAAGCATCGTAAAGGTAAAGGTCTATTTTCCATATTTTTCAATTTTTTAGGGCAATTCATCCTCTGCATTTGACCCATCCTGATGCCACTGCGGCTTACATCAGGAACAGTGGTCGCCGTAGTACAGCCCCCTGGGACCAATCTCCAGATATTGATTCTTGGTCAGGACTAGGGCAGCTGGAGAACTTTCCCTATTGTACATGATTTTTAGTGGTAGGGGCACCGGGAGGAAACCTACACAGACATGGGGAGAACATGCAAAGTTGATTCAGAAAGACCCTGTTCTGACTGGGAATCCCAGTCACCTTCCCAGAACCTTCTTCTTGAGAAGCGAGAGTGCTATCCACTCAGCTGAGTGGATTCACCCTTGTTTTACTGTATATTTAAGAGTATACAATATAATTTCACATTCTAACACATTCTAAAACTAAATTATGACCATGTTGTTGGGCATTTTCAATGGCCAACAAAATGAAAGACACAGGGAGAACATCCTCTTTAATGCGATGACACCATTGTCTACTGTGACTAAAAACGTATTATGTAAAATGTATTTGTCAACATTGCTAAAATGTATGGCCAAAAAGTAGTAGTAGTCAAAAACGCCAACCTTTTCAATATTTCTATCACTAACATCAGCTTATCACATCTCCAAGTACATTGTTGGCTTATTTGAATGCGGCAGTTCTCCTTTCAAGTATTAATTATTTAGCCCTAACTATTAATTATAGTTGACGGGGCTCTTCTAAGATGCACTTAGAAGATAATCACACATTTTGTTGTTGCTGTGTGACCACGGGTGAATGCTAATGTACACTTACTGAAAACATCAGAATAAATCACATTAACAACCACTGTAATCGACATCCTTCACTGCAGTCATATCTCCGTCTCTTTAAGTCCTTGAGACGTGCCAGGGCTGTGCATTTATTTGTTACAAGAGACAGATAAAGCCAATAATGGGGTGAATCTTTAAACATAATCAGACTAACAAACATGTTTGAAGTCCGGCAGAGATATAGCTTCCATATGTGCGCGCATACACAATCGTTGCTCTTGTGTGTGTTCGCTGCCATTTGATTACCTGCTACACAACGTGACCCGAGATATCCCGAAAGGCTGCAGCTGGTGATACAGACAAGCCTATTCCTCATTACTTCTCCCCCACTCCAGTGCCCTGCCTCTGAAGATAAGAAGGGAACAACACCTGTCCTCTACTTCTATCAGCGACACAACCCCACAAACTAAACTCCATACTTGGGCCAGAGGAATCCGAAAACCACTCCAAACATAATTTCACCTTTTTCAAAGTCTATGACCTGTTTTCTTCCCAGTCATTCCTAATCATGTTTCATCAATCTTATAGTCTTGCTTTTCACACATTTTCACTTGTTTTCATACTGTATGTTTTAACATAAACGGATAAAGGACTGTTTTTCCTGATGATAAGGTGTTCCGATTGGGTGATAGTACCAAGCATGGATTATTCAGCATAACTTGGATGGATTCCCTCAGAGAATATCTGGGACTAGGATGCAGTCACATATTGCAGTAAAACAAAGCTCTTATTTTGTCAAAAAGTTTGGACTCTTAATAATCGCAAACTCTCCTTGTGGCCTCTGGTGATTTAGTTTTCAACTCCTGGAACCTAATTTAGTCTCTCAACAATATTACGCTAAAATGCTTACAGGACAGAATGACACAGAGCTGTACCCGTAAGGACTTATTGAATACAATAATATAGAAAAAAACAATATTCTAGTTTTATATCTGTTCCGATCCCATCCAACCTCGATACTGGATTGCAAATGTGGGAAAATAATCTGTCTTTCTGCTGAACGTCTTTGGAAAGAAGTGTGACTATGAAAGCTTGAATGGCAGCTGATAAATGGGCAGAAATATGGATACAAAATTACATTTGTCACTACTACACTGATAAAGTTTTTTACAAATGGAACTCTTTTAGAATTGATGTCTAACGTGGGACCATTTATTTCTGACAGATTATTTTCTTTCTCCCACGGTCATAAGGGTAAAAGCAGTATTGTTGATCATGTTTTTGATGTGTTTCCAGCTTTTAACATCAGGTAAAATCAACACCAATGAAGCATCCAAAATAAAAAACGCTTTCATGCAGCTTGGAGAAGCTCTTAAAAGGTAATGTTTTGTCTTATCACCACTGCTACTTTCAAAATACATACTGGCAGTCTGTCCAATTCACTTTAGAAATGTACATCTGGAACTGTTGCCATGTAAACACACTTTTACACACACAATTACACTTAATTACAATGACATGGCATTTATATACAGTATAATGAGGAAGCTCTGTCTATAGTACTTTCAGATACAGTGTCTTGCGAAAGTATTCGGCCCCCTTGAACCTTTCAACATTTCGCCACATTTCAGGCTTCAAACATAAAGATATAAAAATTAAATTTTTTGTCAAGACTCAACAACAAGTGGGACACAATCGTGAAGTGGAACGAAATGTATTGGATAATTTAACCTTTTTTAACAAATAAAAACTGAAAAGTGGGGCGTGCAATATTATTCGGCCCCCTTGCGCTAATACTTTGTAGCGCCACCTTTTGCTGCAATTACAGCTGCAAGTCGCTTGGGGTATGTCTATCAGTTTTGCACATCGAGAGACTGGAATTCTCTCCCATTCTTCCTTGCAAAACAGCTGGAGCTCAGTGAGGTTGGATGGAGAGCGTTTGTGAACCGCAGTCTTCAGCTCTTTCCACAGATTCTCGATTGGATTCAGGTCTGGACTTTGACTTGGCCATTCCAACACCTGGATACGTCTATTTGTGAACTATTCCATTGTAGATTTGGCTTTATGTTTTGGATCATTGTCCTGTTGGAAGATAAATCTCCGTCCCAGTCTCAGGTCTTTTGCAGACTCCAACAGGTTTTCTTCCAGAATGGTCCTGTATTTGGCTCCATCCATCTTCCCTGTCCCTGCTGAAGAAAAGCAGGCCCAAACCATGATGCTGCCACCACCATGTTTGACAGTGGGGATGGTGTGTTCAGGGTGATGAGTTGTGTTGCTTTTACGCCAAACATATCGTTTTGCATTGTGGCCAAAAAGTTTGATTTTGGTTTCATCTGACCAGAGCACCTTCTTCCACATGTTTGGTGTGTCTCCCAGGTGGCTTGTGGCAAACTTTAAACGAGACTTTTTATGGATATCTTTGAGAAATGGCTTTCTTCTTGCCACTCTTCCATAAAGGCCAGATTTGTGCAGTGCACGACTGATTGTTGTCCTATGGACAGTCTACTCCTTGTTTGAGAGGAAAGTTTGGAGGGACGGCCGGGTCTTGGTAGATTTGCAGTGGTCTGATACTCCTTCCATTTCAATATAATTGCTTGCACAGTGCTCCTTGAGATGTTTAAAGCTTGGGAAATCTTTTTGTATCCAAATCCGGCTTTAAACTTCTCCACAACAGTATCTCGGACCTGCCTGGTGTGTTCCTTTGTCTTCATGGTTCTCTCTGCGCTTTAAACAGAACCCTGAGACTATCAAAGGGCAGGTGCATTTATACGGAGACTTGATTACACACAGGTGCATTATATTTATCATCATCAGTCATTTAGGACAACATTGGATCATTCAAAGATCCTCACTGAACTTCTGGACTGAGTTTGCTGCACTGAAAGTAAAGGGGCCGAATAATATTGCACGCCCCACTTTTCAGTTTTTTATTTTAAAAAAAGTTTAGATTATCCAATTATTTTCGTTCCCCTTCACGGTTGTGTCCCACTTGTTGTTGATTCATGATAAAAAAATCAAAATTTTATATCTTTTATGTTTGAAGCCTGAAATGTGGCGAAATGTTGAAAGGTTGAAGGGGGCCGAATACTTTCGCAAGGCACTGTATATATTTAATCTGCATTTGTTCCTTTGTTTTAAATGTAATATGAATATAATACTGGAACTGCACACAAGACACATTTACATTTCATTCAAGAACCCTAAAATAAGGTTTTAATCTAAAAGCTCCTTGTCGCCAGAGAAATAAAGCAATTCACCATCGGTTTTCTTGAAACCCATTAATATATTTTTTTTCTGCAATGCACATTTTGCCATAATTCAACAGTGATAGGGGTGCAGAGCGTAAATTACTACAGAAATATCCTCAATTTATAAAACAAATAGTTGTACCAGCAAATTTGAAAAACTCTTCCAATGGACAAGTTACAGTGCACATACGCAGGTGAAACTCTGAAAATTAGAATACTGTTCGAAAGCCATTTGACTTTTGCTCTGTGATTGAACTTACATTTTGAAAATAATGTATGTCATAATCATTACAAGCTTTTATTGTTATAATGTTGAGGAGAATAGCTCAAAGCTTACTTAATGAAGCTTCACATTTTCAGTTGACTAGAAATAAATCAACTTTTCTATGAATCTCTGTATACAACAGAGATATACAAACATCATTAAACGTAAACTTTGCATTTACAGCACTGCTTAAGCATTGATAGGCACAGACTTGTTTCACATAGAATATACAGGTATATATAGTTTATCTATTCTCTCAAGTGAGTTCAGTTGTTTCCTGTTAAATTACCTCGTGTATGTTATTATCTATTCCTACTGTCATGTTATTTGAGCAATGAGACTGAAAGGACCCCAGTGTGGGACTATTAAATGTTCATTTCTTATTTTCTAGCGCGCAGGAAGTGGAAGTGGAGCTCTTAGGACAGGCCAAGTGCTCTCGTGCTGAGCTGCAGAGACTGCAGGTCGAGATGGAGCACGCAGAGGACCAGGGCCCTGCTGTGGAGCCTGACACTGAGGTCATCAAACTGAGACAAGACATTCTTCAAGCATACAGCCATGTAAAAGCAACTGAGGAGAGAGATTACCGCACCCAACGCGATCTGCAGTGGTGAGAAAGATGTGTTCAGTTTCTCTGTTTTGTTCAATTAACTGATAGTGCTATCGCCATCATTCACCTATTTCTGGGCTGAGTGGTGGTTTCATTTGATATTTAACTTTTTTCAAAACAAGGTACGAAGGAAAAACTTAAACACCTGCAGTATTCTCAAAGTTTTGTTTGGTTTCCCACATCTTTCTCTTACCTCTGATTCTAATTAGCAATTATTTTGATAATTGATAAGTAATCTAAAGCGATGCCACTCAAGAGCCTTTTCACAGAGACTACATCAAACAATATTGGTTGTTTGATTAGAACAAGGCTAATGGCCTGAAGGTCGTGGGTTCGAGCCCACCATAATAAGACCTACTTCACAACTCCCACTGATGTCTGCTGTCGTTGTGTCCCTGGGCAAGACACTTAACCCCACTTTGCCTGAAGCCCCCACTGAAAGATTTCAGTTCCTGTGGACTCACCACCTGCAGGAGGATCAGTGAGGGGCTGGTGCTAAGTGTACTGGGTGCAGCTCTGACTGCCACCCCCGTGACCCAGAAATGGATAAAGGGGAAGAAAATGGATGAATGGATGGATGATTAGAACTACAACTCAAAAACAATTCCTTGTCATTCTGTAGTAAATAGAGGTCCAAGTATGGAAAAATATGAGTTTAATCGGTCATTAAAATGATTAATAACTATTTCAATAATCAATTAGTTGTGATTAATCTATTGACTTTTACATCCTGATCCTAACATTAAACCATATCCTATCTTCCTCTATACATCTCAAACTGGTTTGAGAAATATGAATACACACAGATTCATGCAAATACTCAATTTCAGTTGGTCCTAGGGCCATAGGTAAAGTACCGCTCAGCACAAGAAGATAGAAATAGTGATGTAAGCAGAGACACATTCTGAGGAATAGTTGTGCCGTGAACAGTCACAGTGTGTGCTGAGTGAGGCAGCATCTTTTTCGCAGAGATGATATCGACTTCGGAGGGCATTTGGGAAAGGGGTGAAGGTGAAGGAGCATAGGATACAAACACTGTATTTTCCACTGTGGTTTAGATATCACCAGTTTATTCGGACTGTGTTGTGTTGATACCAGAAGTTAAATAAAAATACTGAACTGATGAAATCACATGCATGGGGAATGAAATAAGCTAGGAAGCTAAGTATATATTTCTGCTTTCTCCATTGATGAAGTCTGCAACATACACCACTCCCAAAGTTTGAGATATTATTCTCTTGACTAAAATGCAAAGAGCATTAGATCATTGAGTAAACCAGAATTTACTTTAATATCATGATTTTCTTCGCGATATTCATATGAAGACCCAGATTAACTGAACTGTTTGGTGTCTTCCCTATGGCAGTTACATGTCCTAAAATCTACTTTGTTTGAATGAACATGCTCCTGCTGATTTCCATCATCACCAATAGTGTCCAAGGTTGACATAATACTTGTTGATAAGAAAGAACGCCGCTGTCTCCCTCCTCAAGGTACACTAACTACCTCAGGTAGGCATGGCATGAGCAAACTATAAAAATACAGTCAAAATACACATTCTCGACCATAATACACATTCACTCAAGATCACCATTGGCCTAGCCTGGCCATAGCCATCCGTACACTCCGCTCAATCATCATTTACAGTGTGTAGTATGAAATGAAATTTGAACTAAGGTGTGGTACAACCAGGCTACCATTGGCCTACCCTGGTGTATTCAAGTCAAATTATAAAAGAGTTTTCTTTGTCCTAAATACTTAGATACTATTAGGAAATATATTATTCTATTAAAGTGTGAGCTTCTTTCAAATGTACAATAAGTGCATTTTACAATAGCTACATGTCATATAAAGTGTAATAGTCTCAACAAACTATTTCTACATGTTTTCTTTCACTCCCTGTGCGCTGTGCATTTTGGCTTTAGGCAAACTCAAGTGTCTTTGCTAACTAGCGCTGTCACTAAGCTAATTGGGTGTAAGGGTTAGCCCCCTCCCATGAGCCCACAGTACAGTTTCATTTGGAGTGTCATGGATATCATATCATTGATAATATAATACATCCCTGATGTTTGTGAAGCCTAGGAGCTCCTTTGACTTATTCAGGGGAGCTGTTTGCTGTTTTCTGTGAAAGCTATCAGGTGGGTCTTATTCAGTGCTAATGCTAATGCTAAAACAATACATACCATTTAAGCTATATTGGATGTTATAGCATAATGCCTTGATTGATATTGATGAGAAATTTTATTTTGAAGAAGACAAGGAGAGAAAAACATGGATGCTAATATCCAGTATTTTTAGAGATAGTTTTCTGAATAAAATGATGTTACTGAAAGGTTTTGTAGACGTTACAGATCAATGTTCCTGAGTAAAATCCATGATGTGGTTGTTTTCTTTGTTTGAAATACACTACCGTTCAAAAGTTTGGGGTCACATTGAAATGTCCTTATTTTTGAAGGAAAAGCTGTAGATAACTTTAAACTAGTCTTAACTGTAAATAAATACACTCTATACATTGCTTATGTGGTAAATGACTATTCTAGCTGCAAATGTCCGGTTTTTGGTGCAATGTTGTAATTGCTGCAAATGGAGGATTCTTTGACGAAAGCAAAGTTGGATGTAAAACAAATCTTATTCAAATACAATCATTATTTCTAACCTTGTCAATGTCTTGACTCTATTTTCTATTCATTTCACAACGTACGGTGGTGAATAAGTGTGACTTTTCATGGAAAACACTTGGGTGACCCCAAACTTTTGAACGGTAGTGTATAATATTTCAAACTAAGAAAAACATTAGTCCTATACTGTATTGCATTGGAAAATAATTCAGGACTTAATTAACCTGATAAATATCCCACAAAGACCTGGAGTTGTGGCAATGAAATAGAAAATGTTGATTGTGCCGCTGTTTTACTTTATCAATTACATACATCAATGCTTTGATTTATTGTATGTGACTACATAACCAAATCCACTGTACAGATACAAGATACAAGTTTATTTAATCACCACATCGAGTCTCTGAAGTGCACATCACACAGATGCTTTGTAAAGTCAATATCAAATTAATAATTGATTGCAATAAAGTTGAAATTTTGATGCGGCTGCAATTTGTTTGGCTTAAGACCCACTGCCACAGATTTTTATAGTATATTTTGCCAATGGAGAACAGCAAAACACATTGAATGAGCTTTCGATTTTCTTGAATTCCCATTAATGCACCCAGACTTCAGAAAACAATCAGATATGCGAGGAAGTAAATTGGCTGACAATTTGACATATCTGGAGGGACCAGTTCAGCACAAAGCATCAGAGAAGCAAAGGAAAGCTGTGTAAACACCCGTAATGTTCCTATTAGGCCCTATTTATTCAATACTTCAATAGTCTTTAAAGCACCTCTTCCATCTTCTTTGTCTGCATTGCACCTTGCTCTGGACTGCTTCTGCAATATGGTTTTACTCAGCAGATAATGCCACAACTATACACCAGCGATAAGATCTGTAGGACAGTGGTTTTGCACTGAACAGCAGCAATAATTGAAATATTACATGGAAATCACTTACATTGCATTTTCCCATGATGCAGAATGGACAGTTTTCCAGAGTGAGCATGCATATTATATGCGGCAACTATAAAGTATGTTGTCTTTCTTTTTTGATGTAATTTATTTGTTCTTTCAGACACATGTGTTCCCTATCGTTTTCCTCTGTTAAATATTATGAGGTTTACACATGACAAACAGATGCTTTGTTGTAATTATGCTGTTTGAACTCTGCGCCTTCGTTATTAGAGGGCAAATAATACAGAGGAATTCAGCACTATTGCCACCAAGAGCTTTTTAGCATTGAAGCAGTTTTTATGGTATGGTTTAATATCCAATAAATCAACATGTCAAAAAGATGAATACCATTTACTGTATGTGGAAGTGTACGATTTAAAACTCTAGAGGCGCTGTAGAAATGTTTTGTATGGGCTGGCCTTCTTTGGACTTGTAGTTAATCCACTATTTGACGATTGTAGTTTATTGTAATATTGTAATATGTGTTTAGGGTAAACCTGAAAAAAGCTAGAAGGTATACAGACAAAAAGCTTTTGATTTGAACTTTGTTTAGGTATTTAGAGCAGACAAAATTCTTTCAATTCATCCATCCATCCATCCATCCATCCATCCATCCATCCATTTTCTACCCTTTAATCCATTTCTGGGTCAGGGGGGTGACAATCAGAGATGCCACCGAAGTCTCATAGCACCAGCCCCTCACTGACCCTCTGCAGGTGGTGAGTCCACAGGAGGACGGCTGCTCTCTGAGTGTGAGCATAGCCTTGATCTTTCAATGGGGGCTTAGGGCAAAGTGGGGTTAAGTGTCTTGCCCAAGGACACAACGACAGCAGTCATCAGTGGGAGTCGGTGGAGAAGGTGTAGAGGTGGGAATTGAACCCACGACCTTCAGGCCTGAAGGCCAATGCTCTACCAACTGAGCTACTGTTGCCCCTCCTCTTTCAATTCAAAGTAAGTTTAATTCAAATTTTGTACCAGTAAGTATATTTTATGTAAGCAAGCATTTAGAGCTTAGAACATAGACAAGAAATGTGTGTGATTATTACAACCCTAGTTTTTTGTTTAGTTTCTCCAGTAATTTTAATCATCCTTTACATGGGCATTTTTAAGTAGAGTAAAAAATATTGACTGTGTCTTATGTTCTTTCACCTTGTCTCATGTGATGGGTAGGCTTCTGGAAGAGAAGCGGAGTTTGCAGCGAGAGAGCCAGTTCCAGTCCAAACCCACTGTAAGTTCATCACCACTGCACCAACGGGGTCTCATTTCAGAGGCACGGATTAAAACTGCAGCAGCAGCCTTCAAAAAGGATAAATATGAGCTCCACTTTTAAGCCTTCAGCTATAATCCACATAGGCTTGGAGTTTGCAGTTTGATGGTCCTAAAATGTTTATGAACCGTGATTTTATCATTTACAATAATGTGTTTTAAATTCTTCAAGTTGCTCATGGTTGATACACAATTTTTGCATATCTTTAGTATTTTTGCTGTACTTTAATGAATTTTATACAAACAAAACGTGAAAAGTATTTATTGTATGTTCAGAGGCTCAAACTAAACCAAACATACGTTATTTCAAGTTTTGTCAAATCCTTTAACTGAAAATAATAATTTGATAAAGGTTTTAACTAAATATACATGAAAAAAATAAGAATTCAAAGTGTATCAGTTAGTTTTACTGTACTCCATCAAATTACCTAAAGCTTGTTTCTTTGTACAGTGGGTGAAATTGTAATGAATGGGTAATAGCAGATCAAAGTTACTTGAAAAACTGGGTTTTGACATTGTGTATGGATATTTCCTCATTCCTTATCATTTCATGATTATTGTAACTAAAATATAATTTTGGAACATTTGAATCTACGCAGAAATGAAAGTCTGATTGTGCACCGTAAGCAACCCTCTCCAGCTAGACTATGGCTTAGGAACTAATACATGTATTGCCACAGTAATAAAGTTGATGTATGCCGCTTTGAAAAAGACATTTTAATGTTGTAAATAAATCTGCAGGGCATTTTTAAAATTGAGATTTTCATAATCACCCTGTCAGGAGTTTGCCACAACACGGTGAAGCTTGAGCAGTCAACAGTTACATGGGCAAAAAGCAATAAGCAAGTAATTAGAAGTAGAAAATTTCTAGGCATAAAAGCCTATTCTCGCCCATAAATCAGGAGCAAACAACAATCCTCTGGAGCAACGCATAAGTGGTGACCAAATGAACAGAATTAGAATTAGTGTTATAATTGCTGCTGTGGGTCACAAGTTCATCCGTTTAAAATGCACATTGTTAAACCATTTTGGAAAATGGTTTGTCCCTATTCTCTGGCATCTGACATCTTATATATATATATATATTATAATTTAAAATATTTAATAGTCAATATTTAATTGCATTGATGACATAATTACTATAGTTACTTGTGATTAATCTCAATTAATCACACATTTTTCCCTGTTCTAAATGCCCCTTGAGAAGTATTTGGATTGTCTAATATAGGATTCTATATTCACAAAACTCACATTTGTTTTAAAAGTAAAATTTAAATATCGCTCTGCTTACTCTTATTATTAAAGCTTATCCACCAACTGACATGCTTGCAAAATCAAATTTTCCTTTATGCTGATGGGAATTGTTTACAAAGTTACAAAAGGAACAAACAATTTCTACCTGGTGGGAGAAAACTAAATCCAATTGTTATTTTTAAAACTTTTGTATTCCCTGGAGAAAAATATCAAAACAACAACAGGCCAAGTAAGCCAAAACATTGTAGGCATGTGTGTTCCTTGCAATAAGTTCTCAAAGAAACATTGCTCCACACAAAAACAGCTTGAAAAAGTGATTGCAACTCGCAGCCCACGCATATGAAGATAAACAATGACTTACTGTGCTAATATTTCATCAATTGCAGGAGATAGAAGAGCAAAAAAAAGGCCTTCAGGATAAAACTGACAATCTGAGAAAAGAGCTCGCTGAAAGACAACTTGAAATCAGGTACTGTGTTCTCCTTGGTTGTGCAGTAGTTTTTAAATGGGTTCTTACTCCGGCAGTAACATTAGCGACTGTCAGTTATGTACCCATTGAAAATGTCTCATTCGCCTCTCTTCACAGAAGTCTGATGGAAGATGTGTCTAACCATGAAATGCAGATAGTAAAAGAACAGAAAGAGCTGGAGGACACAATGGAGATCATAGAGTTCATAAAGGTTTGTATGTGGGTGTGGAAAACATGGCTCAAAGCGTAACATCAATAAAGTTACAAATCATCAGGTTTTGCACATTTATGTCGGCCATGTTTGTGCGTTTCTTGCCAGGCTGACAAAGCACAACTCATCGGCGTACCTGACCAGATTGGTAAAGAGATGGAAAGAAAACATGCCAAGAAAGAGTGAGTATATTCATCTTTTTTTCTTTTGTAATATTTATTTTAGAAAGCGCTTGAGGGAAAATATGAATTGCCTAGTCATAGCTGCTCTCTGTGACCTCTTAAGCTAAAAGCTGTTATTCATAATAAGTTGCAAAGACATGAAGGATGTAAAAAATATATATATATTGTATGTTGATGTAGATAATTGATGTAGTAATTCAAAATTAAAATATTACATTTGGTATCTTTAACAGCTCAAAGAAAGATTGAAAAAATACATTTATTTCTGTGAGTTAGTCAGCTCTTCATATATACAGTATGACCTACATTTGGTTGTCTGATATGTTACGTGTCACACTGTTTTTCACTGTAAGTTTATCAAAATACAAATCCCTTCTGACTGGAAGCAAGCGCTGCCCCCAAAACCTGAAATTGTACCTGATTATTTGATTTGCAAATTATGTTCAATATTAGAAAAATTTTGCTTTCATTTAGAGTCATGAGTTTAAGGGGAAATGGTCACATTTAAGATTAAATAGTTTTCACAATCAGGCAATATTGACGACCTTTAATTTATCCATCCATTTTCTACTCCTTAATCCATTCCGGATCAGGGGGTGGCCAGAGATTCCACCCAGTACACATAGCACCAGCCCCTCACTGATCCTTCTGCAGGTGGTGAGTCCACAGGAGGATGGCTGCTCTATGGCATAGCCTTGGTCTTTCTGCGGGGGCATCAGGTAAAGTGGGGTTAAGTGCCTTGTCCAAGGACACAACGATAGCAGTCATCAGTGGGAGTCGTTGGAGAAGGTTCCATGGTGGGCTCGAACCCACGACCTTCAGGCTCAAAGGCTAATGCTCTACCAACTGAGCCACTGTCACCCCTTTAATTGGGCTTAAAGTAACCCTTCGTTCCACCTCACTGTGCAACCACAAAATTGGGCAAGAAACCTGTGTGTAAATGAATCATAGTTTCCCCTCATTGTTAAAAACACATTTTTCACTTGTTGCTTAGTTTCAGCTAGTTATGGTTCTGGTCCACTTCCCCTTCTTATTTATTGCAGACATTCTGGTGCTGTGAAAAAGGAACTGGCAGCTTATTTGAAATGTCACTGTTACTGCAGAAACCAATACACAAATAATTTCTATATACCAGTGCTACAGCATATATCCACCATTATTCATGTATTCAAATGCTCATTTACACAGCAGGGCTATTGTGTTTTGGGCTTCACTGCGGCTTCTTTAATGTTTATTTCAGATTAATATTTGACGTAGGAGCAATGTTGCGGAAATCTTCTGTAGCCATGAAAGCTAGGAAAAGACAGCTAATTTGGAATTCACAAAGCAGAGGGTGACTGCTGGCTATGTGCGAAAGATACATACCGTATTTGCTGTTAAAGCTCGCTGCAGTGCAAGGTTACAGCTATAAGCCTTGTCTTGGTCATATAATTACTCTATATGTCTTTTTTCCTTCACTCTTCCACTTATTCCATCTCAGAGCAGCACTGCAAGAGATGGAGTCTATAAATGCAGAAGTATCAGTAATGGGGCAGCGAGTGAAAGAGGTACACGAGCACAACTCCTCCCTTTTGTTTGAGAAAAAGGGGGTGCTGAGAGAACACGAGCTTGTCCGGGCTCAAGTAGAAGTCAGTCAAAAGAAGTACAGACAGCAGCTAAAAGAGCAAGAAGTCCTGAGGGAGGAGCTGATGGAGATCACTGGAAACAGGTTGAAATACCCTTTTAAAAATACAAACCAATCCAAGAGTTTTTTTCTCTCTTATTATTCTGTTGTAGACTTGTTTTTTCTTTTCATTCACAGAGGAATCTTGGAAATGAAACTCCAAACTATAATGTCTGAGAGAAAGCAACTATACAAACGCCAATCTGCTCAGCAAAGAGAAATAAACAGGTACTTCAAATAGTCAATTCCATACGAATGAATCCAAAAGGTTGCGTTCAAAGAATTCTATTTCAGTTAGAGACAAAGATGTGATACTTTGTGTTGTGATACTTTCTGTTTCATGTAAATTGGCCCAGCAATTAGAGGAATTGGCTCTAAACTAAAACTAGAAGTCGGACTTTTCTCAGTTACTATACTTACCCAAAAAGATTTCTCAGCTTCCCTCCATCACATTTGATAGATGAATGGTAATTATGTAAAATTGTCTGTAATTGACTTAAACAGACACTAAAATCACACATTGACCCAAGAAGCCATTAACTGCCAGCGTTTTGCCATATTTTAGCCAGAGACCTGAAACAAATTCTTAAAATCTTTTCAACCTGCAGGAGCACATAAATTCTAGGAAAAGAATTTGCAATCCCTGCATGTGAGGAAGCATATTTTCCTTGAATGTTTACATCAGCTTAGCTGAACTCTATCAAATTAATATTTCCAGATCTTTAAAAGATATGTTTTCAAGCTTGCATAGCTTGACAGGAACTCAGAAATCTATATGTAATTAGCCTGGGCCAATAAATTCCAGAGGCAGTGGAGCTGAAAACTGTAATCCTGGCCAGATCATGATATTATAAATATTTAAGAGGGCTTCGTGCTTCTTCCCAGGCAGGCGCAGTATCTCAAGAGGATGGAGCATGGACTGGCCATAGCTACTGAACAGCTCAAACACCCACAATCAATCTACAATGAGCTCAAGGCGCAGGTAGGCGGGGAAAGAGCCGGGTGTAGTTTAAAGCCTGGCTCTGTTAGTTACAATGTGTACAGGGAAAATATTTAAAGAATTTTAAAGTTACGAAATCTATTGTCCTAACACATGGACTTTCGTTATGTTTTTAATCTTCTGAGAATTGTAATGACGTACAGTACATGTTTTTCAACTGAAAACATTCTTCAGTTCTCTTTTTTGGGATTTGTGTCAGCATGTCTCATGAATTGACAATACACTAGATATCCGCGTGACAAACAAAGGAATTGACACACATCAAACTATTTTATGAATTATTACACAATAAACAGGCAAACTAAAAGCTGTTATTCATAATAATTTGCAAAGACTTGAATGATTTGTTTTGCATCTATTATTCTCATAGTTTGATCAATGACAATGAGTTCTTTTAGTTCAAGCTGTTTTGCGCAGAACTTCACCAGGATTTTACATGGTGCAAAAGCTTATGGTTTGCAGTAAAAAGATCTGACTTGCTTTAATTACAAGCTGCAATGATCATTATTGCTCACATCTCCTTCCAATTATAGGAAGCGACGCGACTTGCAGCGGCACAGTTCATAGCACTGGACTGGCAGGCCTGTGGAGAGGACTGATCCTAGTGCCTACAGCCATACATTTTTAATTAGTTTCACTGAACACACTCAGCGTCACCCAATGTTCAGTCCCTAAAGGAATACTCTGATATATACTATTAGGAACTTTACCATAAATGTTTAATCTAGAATCCTGTGCACCAATTTTCAAGCAAACCTGGCTCATCTCCTGTCTTTTCTTTTTTATCATTTATCTGTGAAAGCTGACGTATTTAAACAAAGCGGAAAGCTCTTGACACTGCTCTATGAAAGGAACATTTGAATCACACAATAGGATTTTGACTTTGTCGTTTTTGATGTTTGTTTCAGCTGGATGCGGTGTCAAAGAGAGAGCCTTGTATTCAACAGCGGATGGATCTTCAGACAGAAGTTGATGCTCTGAACGTCAGCTTTGAAAAACAGGTGCGGCTCTGAACTTAAAAGGAGTTCCAGAACAGAGGCAATAGATTCAAGCGCTCTTCATTGCCTTGTTTGTGTTGAGATACAGAGTAAATACATTCTTTTTTACATTCTTCGTTGGTCAGTTGTTGATTACCAACTTTCCACAGCAATTAGCCAGCAAAGAGGAGAGCCACAAGAGGCAGCAGTACGCGGCCATAGAAGATCTGCTGCGGGAATCAAACGGCCTGAGAGAGGAGCTGCACAACCTAAGATGTCTGACCCAGATTAAAGCAGAGGAGCGGGGCCAGAAGCACAGGGAGATGCTCCGGGCTCAGGTGCACTGGACAACAATGCACAATTCACTCATTGTTGTGTGCATTGTGCTATTGTTATGTCAAATCTCATCTTGAGAGACATGCAATACAAAAAATAGTATCTTATGAGTATGATGAGTCTCCCTCTCAATGAATAATCATAATATGGCAGATCATGGCAAATCAATGAACCAAATCAAGTAATTGAAAGGTTTACTGTTTCATTATTATTATTTAATTTCAACATTTGAGCCTTTTTGTAGCCCTGTATCTTCTCTGTACAGGGACTAAAATATTACGCTCGATGGCATTGAACATATCTGGCAGGTTGTTGTGATTATAGTTACTTGTCAGTGGTATTTAGCAAATCACCTAGAATCAAAACTAGGGTATCTAGCTTTTATGTTCCTAAATAACAGATTTTGTTTGTCCCAACAGATTGTGAACGTAAAATGTTATGAACAAATCATACAAGAACAAATTGTCTATCTCTTTAGAAAAATGTTTGCATATGTAAACAAGAAAGCGCTCTGTACCTCACTATTTGACGCTTTGGGCAGAGAGACGATTGGCTGAGTGACGTCTGCTCTTTTTCACTTTCTGTCTGAGGCCAAAAATACATGCATGTGAAAACTACTGTAGTTTGTGTACACAGTTCTGTTTTCTGTACATTACCATTTGAATTGACTCCTTCTAGGCTATCAGTGTTTAGTATTGACTTGGTAGTTTTTCCTCGTTAATACCTGTTCTCATCATTTTTTGTTTTGTTTATTTATCTCACTATACCTCTGGCAATAACTTATTCAAATCTATCCACACTCCACAGAACATGAAGCACCAGATCGAGCAGGAACTGAAAGAGAAAGAGCTTATCCTGACAGACCACAAAAAGCTCAACGCTCTTCTGCAGCACAGGTGCCAAATATTTTATTCCTGCATTTCTGCATTTGCATACAATTCAGAGCTCGGACCATTTTCAGGTTTGCTAATCGTTAATCCTCTTGATGTTTCCTCGGTCCCTGTCACATCTGCGCATGTAACAGCTGGGAAAACATTTAATCTGTAAATGTTGTCTGGGCAGGAAACCTTGTCTTGTTAATTGGTCATACTTCAGTGTTCGAACGTAGCCTAATGCGTCTGGGACCTCACGCAGAAGCAGCAAAGTGTGACAAGAATAAATTATGTCCAAAGAGCGACAAACGTTACAAGTAAATAATTGAAAGGGTTTGTAGTTTTGTTGCTAAAGGTCAATCTATAATTTATTTATGTTATTTTAACCACTTCTTCTCTTTGTGATTCTACAAAGAGCTAACCCTAGCTCTATTTACCCGTTTTTTTCTGTATTTTTATTTCCTGCTCTCATAACCCTGTTTGTAAATATATCATCTTTCACTGTCATCCCTAAATTAACCATATGCACAAGTCTTCTTGTTTAATTCAACATAAAACAGGATATGGCTGTGATATTTCTAAAAACTAATACATAGTGTTTGTCCCAACAGAAAGATTAAGTACTTTGAACAAAGATCAGATCTGTCTTCTCATTATAAACTAGAATCCTACCCTGAAAACCTAATTTAAAGATGTGATAAAATCAAATTAGAACTATTTAGATGAATTTCATTATAGAGTTCCATTGCTGTGTGGTTTGAAAGTTAGGTTCCCCGGCTTTAACTGCTTTCATTATCTGTAATGATAGAAAGTGCGTTTGTGACAAGTGTGTGCTTTCTATTTCTAGAATTTCACAGTACAGAAAATGGTGTGATGTGATTTTGGAGGAGAGAAATAAGTACATCAGACTGAAGCAGACAGCTTCCCAAACAATCGCAGAGTTGAAGGAGCAGTTCAAAGTCCTGGAAAATGAAACAGAAATACAACGCACAATCGACATAAGCAAAGACAGGTGTGTGGTGGTTTGTGTGATTTGATTTGGATTTGAATAAACATATTGTCACGTGCCGTTGATGAAGAGTCAAGAATCTGCCTTGCAATTATGGTTGTTTGTCCTTGCTTTTCAAACACTATTCTTTCCTTTGTTTTGTCAGATTAGTCACAAAAGCACGCATGAAAATCTCCCACAGCTGCAAAGCGAGAGACAAGTTACGCAACGATATCTCCAAGGTACACGTGATGAAGTGCAATAGCACAAAACTTTGTTCGATAATGTAGAAGGCGTGTCAACCGTTTTCGTCATGAATTAACAATAGGTTGTAACCTGTCAACAGTGGCTAGTGTAATCATGTCTGTGAGGGATGAAATAAATAACAGAAACACTATTTATTTTCCAGTTAAATTCCAGTAGATTTTCAATAAGACGTCACTATTTTGTATTAGAAGTTTAATTACTGTATAATTTGTTTTCATTGAACCCATAGTTATACCATATTGTATCGACTCTGAGATATCTGGCAATGAATATCGAAATGGGAAATGTACATATGGTTCAGCCCTAGTGTGTAGATGGAATGTGATTGGAGTGAGACCCGATCACATCACAGTATTGGTAGGGTATGTGCTCTCAGAGGGCATTTAGCTCCTTTTTACTCTTTCTCTTTCTTTTTGTATAACCCAAAATCCTATAATGTATTTATCCCAATCTGCAGTCGTCTTGAAGTGTGTCATTTATAACCGTAAACCATTTCCTCCGAAGAGGGTGGTTGACAACCACAATTGCTTCCGAAATGGTTTATGGCTATAAATGGGTGTCAACAGCATATTAGAAAATCCAAAGATTTGAACACGTGAAAAATACATTGATACAACCCATAAGAGTATAAATATGATAACAATGTAAACGATGTACATACATGGTGTGCCAAAATATACATTTTGATATATCACAATCTCACAAGCGATTATTGATTTGCTAATTCCAAGTTTGAATATGTTAATTCGCCTCTTAGCAGCCGCAATGAATGGGAGTCTATACAGAGAAAACAACCACATCATGTGTTTGACCCTAAAGATTGAACCTAAAAGTCAATTGGTATAAATGAATTTTAAACACAAATCTGTAAATCAATGCCCAGTCTTCTTCTGTTTCAGTTGTGTTCCAAACTCAATTGTACCGTTTTGTTCAAAACTTCCACAAAGAATAGCCGGACCCATATTTATTTAAAGTAATTATTTGTTCAATATTACAATAAATAATAAATCAATAAATTAGTTAAATAAATTAATTTAACTAATGAGACTTTGGATGAGACAAGTCGCTGGAAATTATATGAGCAATATATCAGTAATTGCAGTATTGCAATATAGTGATACAGTAGTATCCTATTGTGAGCCATGTATCACCATTGTGATGGACCAAGAGTTTCCCCGTCCTAAAGCAATCCCGGCTCATCCCCTGCCCTTAGAACCTCCTGGATCAGACTGATTGCACAATTAGGGGTGTAATGTGCACTTCTCCCTCTCATATTGTGGCACTTAATATCTGTCAAATGACTGACCTGATAATATATTCATGAACATTGTTAACACCCATTGAATGCGTTTTAACTCTAAGCAACTATTCAACTATTGATCATTTTGAAAAGTTCAAATGTAGTTTTAAGAGCTCTCCCTTTCATCTGACATTGAGCTTTACAAATACACTGTTAGAAGTGGTCCAAATATTATATTTGCTTTGAGTAATAGATGAGTATCAAGTATATGCTATAAAGTAAACAAAGATAATGTAAATAATGTAAAACACTAAAAGAGCTTAATAACAGTAATCATGTAATTAACATGCACTTTTGATTTTGGGGTAGGCACTTTAAATTTCTATTTCTTGTCATTGTGGGATAAAAAATACTATTTGTTTAACTAAATCTAATTAAAAATAAAATAACATGGGTATTTCTGAACACTAGTGGTTCTCACTGCCATTCACATTTGTCTTATGTTGGCAAATATCTTTTCTTGTATCTATCAACATAAGTAAAAAAAGACTAATGAGAGAAAATGATTGAAACATCAGAAATGTATTATAATCAACTGTTGCATTTGTAATGTATTTTAGATTGCCTGGAACTTCCGGCAAATTAATCAGGAGTTTGACGACTGCAAACAGGAATTGGAGACACTGACGCAATCCATCACCCACAAGGAAAAGGCTCTTCTGGAGCTGAAGAGGAGGCACAAAATGGCCGTGCAACGCCGTAATTTATTGTGTGTTAAATTGCTGTCTCTAATTAGGTCTAATCAGGGTTTTGTTGATTGTTTTGTAATAAATATACCTCCCTCCTTAGGGGCATTGAGCTTCTGGAGCATGACGAGGTGCTGCTGGGCTACTATGAAAAGGTTAATGTGCAGGAAGCGGACATTAACAAAGGGAATATGGCCATTGAGAGTCTGGAGAAAGACATGACGGACTTGGAGCTCGAAATGAAGGAGGAAAAACGTTTAGTGGAGCTGAGATTGAAGGAGGTGCCTCTGGGGAAACAGCTGGAGGAGGAGATTACCATGCTACAGATACAGGTAGGTGCTCACATCAACTATTTACATCACGTTGTTCTGCATTCTATAACAGCGTGCCAAAAGTATTACAAACTTACAGGCCGGCGCTGTAATTACTTGCAAAAGTTGTGGGCGTAACGATGTGTCTGCACTTTGGTAAAGATTTTTTATAGCTCCAGTCAGTGCAGGACATGTTGGGTGAAAATCCTCCATTAAAATATGTTCAGTTATGCTGGATAAACAGTGTCACAGCAGTAGTCTGAAAAACACCCACTTCTTTTAAAGCATTCTCGCTTTCTTATAAAAGCAATGAAAATATCCCAGTGTTATATCTGTTGCCTGCTCTAATAGTTCTGTGAAAGCATGTTCAAAACATATTGTATTGTGTAAAATATTCAAAATGTGCTTGTAGCTATTACGTGCTGCTTTGAGAATATTATATTTTTTTCTCAATGTATAATTTTTTTTTAAAGTGAACAAATCGGTTTTGGGTCATACCGTAATGGCCGAACTATAAGCTTTTCCAATTTTCTTCCCCTTAATCCATTTCTGGGTCGGGGGGGGGGTGGCAGTCAGGGCTGCACCCAGTACACAGAGCACCAGCCCCTCACTGATCCTCCTGCAGGTGGTGAGTCCACAGGAGTCTTGATCTTTCTGCGGGGGCTTCAGGCAAAGTGGGGTTGAGTGTCTTGCCCAAGGACACAACGACAGCAGACATCAGAGGGAGTCGGTGGAAAAGGTCTTATGGTGGGCTCGAACCCATGATCTCCAGGCTCAAAGGCCAATGCTCTACCAACTGAGCCACTATTCACTACGTAACCGGGAATCGAACTCCGGCTACAAAACTGCAAATCATCAATCCTAACTACTGGACCATAAGGCTTTTTAGAAAGTGGTGTCAGACGGACTTTTAGAAGGTAAACAGTGACTTGCTACTCATAGAATTTAGCGCCACACTATGTTCTCAACAAGTGCATGTATGAGCTCCTCGGTCATGTGCTGCTGCTGCTCTGGAAGCGAGGATGAGACGTGGCGTATGAATAAACTGGAGACGGTGGATTCAATCAATCAATCAATTTATTTGAGCAGGTCATACAAAACAAAAAACAATCCAATAGGAAAACATTTCAAGAAAAAGTAGACACAGCTCAAAGGGAGTAAGCCGAAGTAAAATACTTGTGGGAGCTTACCCCAATTACATTTTCATATTTACATCGTTTTTCAATTAGGTGTGTGTGTGTGTGTGTCGGAGTGGGTACACATGCATGTGTGTGGATTGGGTCATCATCTTATATTTGGTGAGAATATTTCAGTCCTCCCAAAATATTGATGGGAACATGTCCCCATGCAAACCTTGGCAGGTGATGGAGAGTATTGTTTAGTAACTCCTGGGGCGCAGGAAATAATTTGGAGACAGCTCTATATAATCTGTGGCTTGAACAGCAGAGAGAGCCAACATAAGGAGATGCACAAAATACAGGTTCAGGTAGCTATAGGACACACGTTTATTGTCAAAATAGATGCCTAAATGAATCTTGACATGGAAGCTAACGGTTAATGTTTGCCTCCACAGGGTTTTTTGTATTATTTACAGAGCTTTGATCATAACAGGTCAACAGTGCGTTAAAACACCTGTCATAAATCATAATGTGACTAGTTACAACAGTTGCCTATCAACAGCTGTCGATCAGCTGTTAGTTATGTTATATATTTGATGCAAATAGATATAGATAGATACTTTAATGATCCCCGCAGGAGAAATTCAGGTGTCCAGTAGCAGCAGAAACACATGCATTCATACAGACAAAACTGTCATGTGGTGATTTGAATGAGGACCCAAAATGCAGGAATGCCAAAAATTAATGATGAAAAAATAAAAGTGCAGGAGAAAACTAACTCAAAATCCAAAAGCACAGGGAACACATAACCAGGAACAGGACAGAACAAATGTTGACAAGACAATGGACCAGCACAAGGGGAGAGGAGCGCAGGGTACAAATAGACACAGACACAGGTGAAACACATCAGGGCAGGGCAAACAATCAAGACAGGGGAAACAGGACAGGAAGTCAAGCTAAAACTAATTCACAGATAAGATGTCAAAATAAAACAAAAATACAAACATAAAATCCACACCATAACAAAAACAAATAAATCATTCTAAAAACAGCTCAAAATAGTATTAAAGTGCGACATCACTTTAGGTCACAGCAGCAGAGGTGGAACGTCTGCTGTGTGGAGCAGGACGGCTCACTGCAGCAGAGGCGGATTAGCCTTTTCGGACCATTTTCTCTGCTCTAGTCCAAAGTGAGATGCTCAATACTACAAAAGTTAGCATTCCTCCAGTTGATTTTTGCCTGATCCGCTTGTTTCGGACCATGAATCCTCTCCAAAACTGTACAGAAACTGAAGTTGCAGCTATGCAGAAAAATAACAATTATAAGCACAAAAAACAACAGTTTCAGAGCTACTTAGAATTTGCTGCCATTTCCAGCGCATTCAAAAGTCACCAAAATGAAATATTGGCCACTTCATGTATTCTTTTTTCCTTGTCTTCAAACCGTTTGATTCTTTATTCAGTTTTTGGTGAATTGACTATTTCTGTGGCATGCTGTTGTTCTGTTCAATACACACAAAAATCTTTGTGTGCAGCCCTAAATCACAACAGTTTTGGAGGACTTTAAAAAGTTGTCAATTTGCCAACAATAGAACAGAGAATTTAAATATTCAAACACAAGAAATGCAATAATAACAAACACATAGAAGTATTCACAAATTCTGAACCTCACTGCTCATTCAGAACCTTACCACACTGTCAGAACCATACCACACATTCAGAACCTTACCACACATTCAGAACCTTACCACACATTCAGAACCTTACCACACATTCAGAACCTTACCATACATTCAGATCCGAACCACTCATTCAGGACCTTACCACACATGCAGAACCTTACCACACAGTCAGAACCATACCACACAGTCAGAACCATACCACACGTGCAGAACCTTACCACACATGCAGAACCTTACCACACATTCAGAACCTTACCACACATGCAGAACCTTACCACACATGCAGAACCTTACCACACATTCAGAACCTTACCACACATGCAGAACCTTACCACACATTCAGAGCCTTACCATACATTCAGAACCTTACCACACATTCAGATCCGAACCACTCATTCAGGACCTTACCACACATGCAGAACCTTACCACACAGTCAGAACCATACCACACAGTCAGAACCATAGCACACGTGCAGAACCTTACCACACATGCAGAACCTTACCACACATTCAGAACCTTACCACACAGTCAGAACCATACCACACATGCAGAACCTTACCACACATGCAGAACCTTACCACACATTCAGAACCTTGCCACACATGCAGAACCTTACCACACATTCAGAACCTTACCACACATGCAGAACCTTACCACACATGCAGAACCTTACCACACATTCAGAACCTTACCACACATTCAGAACCTTACCACACATGCAGAACCTTACCACACATTCAGAGCCTTACCATACATTCAGAACCTTACCACACATTCAGAGCCTTACCACACATTCAGAACCTTACCACACATTCAGAACCTTACCATACATTCAGATCCGAACCACTCATTCAGGACCTTACCACACATGCAGAACCTTACCACACAGTCAGAACCATACCACACGTGCAGAACCTTACCACACATGCAGAACCTTACCACACATTCAGAACCTTACCACACATTCAGAACCTTACCACACATGCAGAACCTTACCACACATTCAGAGCCTTACCATACATTCAGAACCTTACCACACATTCAGAACCTTACCACACATTCAGAACCTTACCATACATTCAGAACCTTACCACACATTCAGAACCTTACCACACATGCAGAACCTTACCACACATTCAGAACCTTACCACACATTCAGAACCTTACCACACATTCAGAACCTTACCACACATTCAGAACCTTACCACACATTCAGAGCCTTACCATACATTCAGATCCGAACCAGTCATTCAGAATCTTGCCACACATTCAGAACCTTACCTCACATGCAGAGCCTTACCACACATTCAGAACCTTACCACACATTCAGAACCTTGCCACACATAAGTTTATGCAGCCACTCACAATGGCTTTAGAAAACCTGTGGCTTATATGTGGAAATAATGTACTGTATGCTAAATGAAGGACAGTTTTTTAACATAGGATTATTAAATTTAAACAATGAGTGATGAGGCAAACACTGCACTTCCAGGTACTTAAAAGTTATAAAAATGAGAAGAAAGAAAAGAGAAAGTACATTGACGCAATTATCTCTTTGATGATGTAGCCTACACTTCTCCTTAGTGTACATTGTTCTGCTCCCCTTAACAATGTACACTGTGTAATGGTGTCAAACTAGTGCAATGATTACACTGGAACACTAGAAAGAAAAAACTGGATTTATTCACATTCAAAAGGGAATAGAATTGTTAATCGAAACGACATAGCTTTAGGTAATAGAATGCACCACTTTTTTGACCCAATTCTTGTTCAACATAATTTGCATCTATCGTTCAGTGGGTTTTACTGTCCATATACTCTCAGAATCAGTGTCTTTCTATACTGATCAGATGGTACAGATTTGGCAACAGAGACTAATTTTAGGAATATTTTGGCAGATTGTGAGTCAGTCTTTTGTATGCATGGAAGCAAGTGCGTTTGTTCAAAAGTGCTGCAGGCTACTGTCCAACTGTGAGTGTCCCTGTAGTTTTTGTGTTATTATTTCCGACATTTATGTGATATATTATTTGAATTTGCAGTATAGATCTTAAGGACAGGGACTTGCACTGTGGTCTAGAGGCGTTTTGCTCCAGTGTTCATCTTGATATCAGTCAGAGCCCAAAAATAAAGCTATCTTTTAAATTCAATACAATACACTTATTTCACCATAACCCAATAAAAAAGGTTTAACAAATGTGGTTTACAGACAAAATAATGTAGC